GCCGGCGGCGAAAGTGGCGGGGGCAGCAGCTTGGCAATGCCGACCCAGCAACTCGGCGGAACTGGCTCGGCCTCACCCTCGGCCAGTGGAGAGAGCTGCGAAGAGGAGCTGGTGGCGCCGCTGTTTGAGCTGAACCTCGACTCGGAGGAGAACTTTGAGCTGAAGACGCTGACCAGTGCACTTAAGAACTACCTGCGCAATCTGGCCGAGCCGATCANTTTGAGCTGAACCTCGACTCGGAGGAGAACTTTGAGCTGAAGACGCTGACCAGTGCACTTAAGAACTACCTGCGCAATCTGGCCGAGCCGATCATGACCTTTGGTCTGCACGAGGAGTTCATCTCTGCTGCAAGTGAGTGTTTGGTTTTGCTCCCTTTAAAAAATGATTAGTTTTGTTGTTGTTGTTTTGTTGTTTTAGTTTGTCTTTTAACTATTTAAAACTTATTTTTTACTATTTTAGAACTGGAAAACCGATCCATGCGCATCGATCGCATCCACACTCTAGTCCACCAGTTGCCGCCGCTAAACTTTAAGGTTCTCAAGACGTTGGTTGAGCACTTGACGAGGTACCTGCCTGTTTCAGTTGATCAAAACCAACAACTGTTTTTTGTTTAATGTTCCTCATTTTTCCAACTTTAGAGTGGCAAATCAATCGGAGAAGAACTTGATGACCGCCTCCAATTTGGGCGTCTGCTTTGGACCGACTCTGCTGCGCACAGCTGAAGAGTCTGTTGCCGCCATACTGGACATTAAATTTGTGAACGTCATTGCAGAGATGCTCATTGAGCACTACGAAACAGTATGTGTTGTTGATAGTACAGGCAAAATGCAAACGACATAATACTTTTGTGCAGTAAACCGATTATGTGCATGCAAAGATGTTGCTTACTTTTCTATAAAAAATCTAAAAACTTTAAAATTTATTTAAAAATTTCCTTAGCTCTTTAAAGTGAAAACACAAAAGCAAAATAACACAATTTATAAAAACTTTTTTATATAACTTATTGTCACTATGTACTTTCAAACCAATATGCAAAGACTCATTTTCAAAATTTTTACTTTCCTTCAGATTTTCCTGTCACCACCTCCTTCAACGCCTCCAACTGAAACCGACCACGCATTTGGCCAGCATCAAATGGTACCATTTATTTACTTTAATTTGCTTTTGCATATTAAAAATTAATCAACTTTTTATCTTTAATTCAGAGTGCTCACACCTCCTCCTCTCCCAGTGGTGGTGATGGTGGTGTGTCGGTGGGAGGGGCGGCCACCATTCAGCAGCGTCCACTGCCCACTGTGCCAAACAGCAGCCACCACCATCACATTCAAATGGTGTCACCGTACCACCAGAACAGCAGTCCGACGACTGTCCAACAGCAGCAGCAGCAGCAACTTCACTTGCCCCTCTCTCCCCAACAATTGGACACTAGCTCAATGGTGTTTTTTGCTGGCAATGCCGCCGGCGGCTCTCCCACCTCGTCCAGTGCGTTGGGAGGCGTTCCGGCGCAGCAGTACCGCTACAGCGTCCATCCGTCTGCCACCGCTCGAAACGCCGCCTACTTCCCGGCTGGAGGCAGCAGTCACCACCACCACCATCCCAACCACGCCCACCAGACGGTGAAGCAGCTCTCTCCCTCAACGGACGTCTACGGGCGGCTGGCGTTGATGCCCAGTGCGGCGGTGCCACGACGTAGCAGCAGTCAGGATCAGCTCTACTCGGGCATTATCATGGGCGGGGCTGGAGGTGGTGGCGCTGGTGGCGGCGGTGGTCACCACCACTCCAACTCAGCAGTGGCAATTCAACAGGCGAGGGCCAGGGCCTCCGCTCTCTACGGCGGCGTCTCACCGACGGCCAGTGCGGCGCAGATGATGCAAATGGCCCAGCAGCAGCAGCAGCAACGACCGCACAACCTTCCTACTCAGCTGTCGGCCTCAAATTATGCCACTTATCCAAATCAACACCAGGGAATAGTTGGGCGAAAGCAGCAGCAGCAGCAGCCGCCGCAACACTTGAACAATTCACTGCTGCAGCCCTCATCTCCAATGCAGATCAACCAGGGCCAAAATGCTTTGCTCTACCAGTCACCAAGTTCAGCCATTTACGGGCATTTGATGCAACAGCAGCAACAGCAGCAGCAACGACCAGTGGCCGTTGGAGGGCTGTCACAGATGGCCGTCATTCAGCCTTCAATTTCCTACCAAAACCTGCACTATGAATCGTCGATGGCTGTTGCTGCGGCCGCCGCTGGAGAACTGGCCAACTATGGGCAAAGCTCTGCCGGTCATCAGCAGCAGCTGTACAACCACAGCCAGCGTCCAATGACTAGCATCGGCTTTGCTATGCCTAACAATCGAGTCGATGGAAGCGGAGGAGGAGGAGGAGGAGGAGGAGGTGTTGTTGGCGGCTCGGGACTCTACCAGCAATTTCAGCACCCTCAACAGCTGATTCAGCAGCAACAGCAGCAGCAACAGCAGTCCACCTCGCCGCCTAGTCAGACACTGCTGAGCGTCAGCTCTTCAGCTCGTCCCTTTGCCCTCTCTTCCACCTCCTCAGCGTCATTGCCCTCCACCCCGGAGCACTCCTCTGCCAACTTTCACTACGGAGTGTTGCCCACTGCAGCGGCGGCCACCGGCGCCCGAACGCCCACAGCGGCCCACAGTTTGCAGCACCAGCAACAGCAGCAAAAATCAATGCAAACTCTTCCTCCGATTTCCAACAACACCTATGAGCAGATTGCTGCCATTGGAGGCGATGGAGCCATCCTCTCAACGGCCCATCACCAGAAACCGCAACAGCAGCAGACAATCTACGGAACAATTGGACAGGTAAGAGGCGGCGGAGTTGTTCCGCAATTGTCCTCTCCGCCAGGCACTGCTACTGCCATTGTCGTCCAACAAGAGATTCAAAAGGAGGCGTCAGTTGACAGTAAGCAAAGTCCACTTTCGCTGCCCAGCAGTAAAGTGCGCACTCGATACGTCTGCATCGGCGGCAATGACTCGGAGCTCTCCTTTCAACCTAACATGATCATCACCAATGGTAAGCTCAAAAATGAACTGAAGAATAACTTTTCAAGCAAACAAAACGTTTTGTTTTATGTTCACATTCACAATAGTAACCATTTTCCGTTTTTTACCTCTTTCTAGTGCGTCCTTCACGAGAGCCCGGCTGGATTGAGGGCTACCTTAACGGCAGAACTGGCCTAGTGCCGCTGAATTACGTTGAATTTATTGAGTAGTTTGATCACAGATTGGCTGAGTGAGTAGTAGAGCTGCCAAACATATAAGAACAAACAAACATACTACAATCACACTGTGTGCAACCACTTCTTCACTTCCTCCACTTTTGTTTATTGCGCGATGATCTCTAGCAGTCGATTCTTTTACCACTATCTACCTTTCTTACCTATTTGCTGTTGAGTACTTATTCACATGCAAAATATAAATAGGAAAACAGTGGTTTTCTGCTTATCTATTTATCTATCAGTTGACCTTTCAGAGGACTGCAAAAATATTATCATTGTCATTTTATTTATTTATTTTTGATTTTTTTCTGACATTCTTTGTTAGTTCATTTTTATGACTTTTTGTGTCATTGAAAACAGAAAACTTTTCACACAACTTTGTGACATTTTGTTTTTTTCCACTTTTTTGTACTTACAACTTNTAGGAAAACAGTGGTTTTCTGCTTATCTATTTATCTATCAGTTGACCTTTCAGAGGACTGCAAAAATATTATCATTGTCATTTTATTTATTTATTTTTGATTTTTTTCTGACATTCTTTGTTAGTTCATTTTTATGACTTTTTGTGTCATTGAAAACAGAAAACTTTTCACACAACTTTGTGACATTTTGTTTTTTCCACTTTTTTTGTACTTACAACTTTCCGATGATCAGTATTCCTTTTTAAATGAATCATACAATTTTTCATTTTCAAATGCAAATGATTTACCAAATGATCAAGCCAAACAAAAACAACTTTTAAATTTTTTTTCGTTTATCAGTCGATCTCGAGACAGGCCACAAACCTAAC